TCGCTTCCCGGTCATCGGTGCCTTCTTCTTCATTGGGACAAACCGGGAATAGGCAACAGGAAAAAAAAACACACGACTCAATGATTAATTGCACTTTTAACCCTCGCCCGTAAACGGCGATCTGCCACCTTCGCCCATGCAGGGGGGGGGGGTTGGTGCGACCCCCCCCCCTTGGCGTTTGAAAACGGAGCGTCGTAGAGCTTAGCGGAAAAGACCAACGGATTGCTCTCGCCGAGATCTCGCGATTGGTGGTATATTTTTTGGTCCTAGGTCAACATTTGGCCTACTTTTGACCGGTCAAAGGTCAAATTTTCGGAAAAATAGACTTTTTTTTTCAACTTTTCGCGGCGATTGCGGCAAAACGGTGGGAGATATCGACTTGAAACCTTCACTATCGTGTTCCTTGATCAATTCCCTATCGTTTGGTATGTATTTCGTTTCCCTAGCTCTAAAAATGGCGCGTTGGGAGCGCCGGAGGTCGGCAAGGTCACAGTCGGCGGCAGAAATTCGAAAAATCAAAATTTAAATTTTTGAAATCTGGTTGTATTTTTGGATTTGGGAGGTCCATTTGCTCCCTATAGAAGCTAATATTGCTGCATATTCCCATTGAGGTGACAAGAATTAGCAAAATAGTGGTTCGGGCGCTTTTCAAAAATAGTACCGGACGCTGTTCCTCTTGTGACGTCATAGCTCCGTGACCTGACCTGACCCGGTCAAGTTTCTTATACCATATGATAGCCAATACTTGCCCCAACATGCATGGGAAGTTTCATCACGATCCATCAACCGATGTCCGTACCACCGGCAGGAAACCTCGGGCGTTGGCACTCAGTTTGTGAAAATCCGGCCGGAGGCTGTTCCCTTTGTGACGTCATAACTCCGTGACCTGACATGACCCGGTCAAATTTTTTTTTATCAAAAGATGCGCAAGGTTTGCCCCATAAGGTACCCAAAATTTGGCGGCGCTGCGCGCCGTTGTTTTTGCACTATTTCCGAAAAGCCTCAGGGGGGGGGGGTTGCACCAACCCCCCCCCCTACATGGGCGAGGGTTAATAAAAGGCTATGATCTATCCAGACGATCGATTCAATGCACAGCAATTGCTATGCACTCTTACATAATCGCTAACGAGTTCAAGTTGCTGTTGACCTAGGAGGAAATACCTAAGCGTATGCCCTTTCATGGAAAGCATCTTTTGGGATAAAATAAAACGCATTTGAAACAATAGGAACTCACAATAAGCTTGAAGGTGAAATGCACTATCTTGGGAACAGATAAGGTGCACCTAATAAGTTCTAGGTTCAGAAAGGGATGATGACCCAGCCGGAACGCACGTTTTCACATTTATGCGGATAATCTAAATGAAATCATAATTTGCTCTTTCCTTTAGACATGCAATCATAAATGGATTATGTACATGTGTGTCTTGTGTGTATTTGCGAAAAAGACCGCACTTTGCACGCGTATCGCGTACCTTATGCTTGTTGCTTATGCGGCATTCAGGTCACTCCAAGGCCTCGTCTAACATGTTAACTGGGGGGGCCAAACCCCCGCAGTCATCGACCTGGCCCCCCCCCCAGTCAGGGCAAAAAGTCACTACTGGGGGGGGGGCGGCAATAGCCAAAAAGCAAACGAATTTTTATTTCGAGGCGTCAGTGCACATAAAAACAAATGCGTAAACGAAACGATGCAATGTGAGCACATTGAAATACCCCATTACCTAGGGCTGTTGTGTTAATTTTGTTCTGAACCATTTTTTTCGCTCAGCAATACGTTACATTTCGTCTTTTTAGGCGCCCAACTCCGTGTCCCGGATATTCTTTTTTCATTAATTTTGTCCGAACCTTTTGAATGGAAGGATTCACAAGTACGTACAGAGCCTCCGCTAAGCAGAGCTTTGCGTTGGCCCTGCCCTCTACCATCCGATCGCGCAATTCGTGATCTATGGCAGAATTTAGAGCCCAACCAAGGTTTAACGTATGCACATAGCCGCGCACGGCCGGTCCCCTCACTGACTTCGAATGGCTACGGCCTGCCACCAACCGTAACCATACTCGCCAGGAGGCTCATAAAGATCGAGCGATGTCGCGCTTCGAACCCGGACTGTTATAACCGGGACGCGTGCCCTCACCACGCGGAGTCCAAGGCTCTACCGGCAAAAAGTTCTCCTTTAGGTATCAATCTGTTGTTTCTGTCCTCGGGGCGTCAATCTCTTGTTTTTGCCTATCGTCGTCGTCCCTATGCGGCGTCCAACTTCTGGCTGGACGGTCACCGGTGTGCGGCTAGAGTAGCTCCTAATCGTACTGAAGCAGGCTCCCGTTCTGGGTGGTCGTACGTAGGCGCAGATGCCAGATTGGTGGTCTGTCTGTGGGGACGGGAACTCTGACAGCTGAATTATCTAAAGAAGTCGGCATGGAGTCCTGGAGGGCAAAAGCCAGCCACTTAGGGTCCCAACGTGCCTCAAAGCACTACTATCTTCATTTTTGTTTAGTTTATAGCCTCTGACGACCTTAAGGTTGTGTCGAAGATCCACGGCGATTACGGAGAATCCACCTGAGAAGCCATCAGTCTCCAAGTTGATACACAGGCATTACACTTGTCTGAGGGGGCCCTAGTGGGAAAATACGGTCTCCACTCAGATTGACCCTTAAAGCCTGGTATGGATCATATAAAACCAGTGTGGGCCCATAGAGACCGACGTGGGTCCGGAAGCTGGCATTAGCCCTCAGAGATCGGCATCGAGCGCTCAGAGGGGCCCATCAGGAACCGATGTGGCTCGCAAAAAAAAATATATGCGTTTGGGCCCTCGATATAAGGCTCGGCATGTAAATTCCTTAGACAAGGCACTGCCACTCAAACACACGCTCAACAACGAGGAGTGTCATTATTATTGTCTGATGGGGCAATGTGAGGAGGCTATAAACTAATGTACAAGCATGGGTCGGATGGCCTACTAGATTTTTATTTTATTAAAAAAAAAGATATTCATGGTGTCAGGGCTGTGATGAAAAATAAGTTGTCTAAATCCGGTGAGAAAACAGGATTTGGGGGTACCCTAGGTTTGGCTCCTTCAGTCTCTGGCCCCCCCAGTGAAAATTCCTTAGACGAGGCCCTGGGTCACTCGCAGTTGAAGTGATACTGTGCCGCAACACATCGTAAGCAGAATACTGCACCGCAATGCATCCGGCTCTAAATCGTCACTTGTTTAGCCTTGGCACTACTGAGACTTTCTCATTGTTGATATCGATAAATGACACCCGATATTACAGGTTATCATGCAATAGTTAATCCCAGAACCTGTAATAACCAATGCTAGCGACACGATGTCAAATACGGGGTTTATCGGGATGTTATTACAACACCTCACTGGGGTCCCCACGTCCAGCGCTAAGAATCTCCAAATGAAGACGGATTCGGCTCTGGCCGATGGACTGAACGACCGTCCGGCCTTGAACCGCGCTTCCATGGGAATTAGTGACGGGACTGATGGGCACGGAGCAGCTCCGTAACCCCTGCACAGCGGGGGCGCCCGGGTGCGTGCACTAGCACACTGATATCTGAACAGACACACACGTAGCTGGCAGGCCACCCGTGAGCCTGTCACGATCGGCAGGCGGTCTGCACGCACTAAACGCAGCCACCTAACGTCTTGTGGCTCTCAGCAGTGAAAGGCTGCTGCATTATGAGATTAGTGAGCATGCCACGCAGTGATGAGATGCACGCATAGTTTAATCGTGTCAATCGTCGCACTTATCAATACAATCTCCGGAGCTTTATCAATATAAACTCCTTCAGTGCCAGCAGTACTGAAACTAAACGCGGCCTCACGCAAAAGAGGAAGGTTCGGCACGCTGTCGACGTCACTGGGGCCAATGTCCAGTATTCTGTAGGAGCGTGACCCAGAGCGGGCGCTCCGGCATTCGAGGCCCGGAGAGGGGGGGGGGGGGTCGAGGTCCTGACAGGGGAGACACGTGTCTGGGTCCCACTGACGTAGGTCAATGTAACGCCACGGTAATGGCCGCGGAAACGTGCAAACTGTGTGTTATACGTTATAGCCTATAGGAAGGCAGTAAGGTTACGTAATGTTAGCACTGTTTGGTTTCGTAACGAGAGTCGAGCGTGCTGCAAGTCATTGAAGGCGCAAACACAGTCCGATTGCAATGGTAGCATTCTTACAAAGTTTTCAGCTTATAAGCTAAACAATAATTAACTATATCATGAACCGTTCCAACCGCAAGAAGCCTCTGTTGGCGATAAGCGAGCGAATGAGTGTCTCCATCTGAACCCCAGCGTTGCATTTAACTTACATCAGCCCAACTACTTATTCCACTCACATGATTATTCACAACTCAGGAAAACCCATCAGCAATAGCATGTATGCGACTATTTGTCACGTAAATCGACCTCGTGCATTGAATCACGCGAGGTGACTGACCCCTGCTCGGAGGCGGGACGATCGTTTCGTGCGCTTCATTTGTCTCTGATGTAAGGCAGATCTCGTGTCTCCGAAGGCGTGAGGTGGTGGAGGCATGCGAGACGCGAGTGAGACGGTTGGCGGGAAGGGTCGATTCTAGGGAGCGGCATTGGCGTGCAGAGGACGGACAGGTCCTTCGATGAGGTAACCACTACTTTAGTAGGCTGAGATAGCCGTGTAGGGCTGCAGGGGAGGTGTTCACTGCTCAGTGCCTCAGCTGGACATGACAATATCACTGCTCGACGTCAACCTGTCAATCGGTCAATCGACTCTCCCGGACTTCAATCTCCTGTGAGCGTTTTCCACCGACACCTCACTATGTCGTTCTCTCCGTCATTCATTCGCCAACGCACGCTGAGCGATTTACCGGTTCGTTCTATCACCATTCCGTAAATTCTGCGACTTCTTTTGACTCCGCCTCTTTTGTGACTTATTTCTGGAACCCAAAGAACCTGCCATATGTACGAGTAAACCATTGTCTCTGTATCTCCATCGAACCTCTCGATCTCCACAAACACCAAACGCGTGTTGTTGCACTTGGCCGAGTATATTTTGTTATAAAGAGTATTTATACAATACGCAAGCGGCCGCCGCAGCATCTGTGGATGGCCGGTCAGTCAGTCACCAATCGGTGGGGTGCGGAGCGACGAGCGGCGCCGGCCCGACACGACCTGACCTCGTCACTCACCACACATCAATACCCTGTCATGAGGTGGTCAGCTGCCGGCGCAGAGAGAGACAGAGAGTCGGCGAGGAGAGAGCGAGGAGCGGCGCGAGGGACGGGAGGGCGCTCGGAGGGACGGGAGGGCGCTCTGAGGGACTGGAGGGCGCCAGGAGGGCACAGGACCACCGTTTGATCTGAGGACAGTTGGGCTCGGTCGGAGACGGCTGCTCTACTGTGATATGCTTGTGGTCGCCAGGCGGCGCCGGGGCAGAGGAGCGCGGGTGCAGAGGTGCTGCCGCAGCGCGCGGGCCGCGCGGCGGTGCTGCCACCTGGCGGCGGCCGGGCCAACCAGTGACCGCCGCTCTACATTAGACTAATGGCACTCCGCAGCGGCCGGCGGAGTATCTCTATAACTAGGCAATATCACTGGCGGGGGCCCGGCGGCGCGGGCCGGTCGCCGGCGCTCTCACACGCTCGGCCCATCTCGGGCGGGCCCGGCCGTAAGACGCGCGTGGTCCCGTGCCTGCCGACCAGAGAGGAGGGTGCGGCTGACCGGCGCGCCTCCGCCGAGCCCCCGCAGGTGCTCGCTCCCTGCCCCCCCCCCCTGTGTGACCTCACACACGCACTCCCCCCCCCCCGCGGGCTGCGCAGAGCCCGATACTGGTCTCGGCTCCTCTGGGGCGGCGTCAATGCCCCGCGCCGGCGGACCGCCGCGTCCCAGCGCCCCGCAGGACGGGAGCCAGTTAACCTACTATGTACACAAGCCAACGGCGGCGACGCGACGTCCTTATGAAGGAGAGCTGCGGGACCGAGATTCGAGATCAGGAGAGATTCGGCTGTGTCTGCGATAAGTCATCCATGCACTTCAAACAAAACCGGCGCTTGTGCTCAGGGTAATAAATAATAACAGACGGGTCACCCTGTACTAAGCCTCCAGCGTTATTTGAGCACTACGCAGAGTTGTTAAACACGACCAAAACAGAGTGTCAACAGTGGCTGTTCAGAAACACGAATTACATCTCGCCCGCAATAGGAGATCCTAGTAAGCCGAATAAATGCGACATAAAGGACGTACAAAGTAAATATGGCTACTACGAACACGTGCTAAATAAACCTTCCATAGCGCATAAAATACGCATAAATATAACACAGGTCTACGATAAACAATAAATACCCCCCACGTGACATCAAACTGACAGCCTAGTACGGAGATCAGAACGGTGAACTTACAAAACCGGCAAAATACACTGAAACATAAATAGAAATACAGCAAGGATCAGGTACAAAACAACAAATTATCAAGCGGTTAAACACAACAGTGGACTAGCGGCTGAAAGACGTTGTTTTCACAATGACTTTTTGGCCAGTAACTATACGTGATTAGTATGAAGTAACAATATTGTAACAATTGACACCTTACGGCACCCAATTATCTTAGTCATTGATTTTCAGACTGTATAAGCATACACGAGATCATCAACAAGAACCAAGTCTTTGAAATTTGGCGGTTTATCCCTAGTCATATCATCAACCGTGCTCGTCCCCGTTTGGCCACCCCAATGGTCTTCGAAAATTAAAGAGCCCATGGAATGGCTACTTAAGGTCATGACATATTCAGACCATACTGATATGCAGGAAAGTTATCGTGCAAAAAGCGACTTTTCATAAACTTAGTACGTACTTAGCTTTGCTGGAATTATCGTACTTAGTGCCGTCAAATAAACACCTTGCGGGTCACATACTTTTTCTGCGACCGTAAGAAGCCAATAAGGCTGTCAATACAATAATATGCAGCGAACTCACTGCCAAAATGTGACCTTCAAAATAAGATGCTTATCGGACGGAAAATAATCTAGGAGACGATATATACACACTTTATCATTAAACCTAGTCATCATGCACTGTGTAAAAGTCGCAAACAACCCCTTCATTCACAACTCTACGATCTACAATACTACGCTGAGTTTTCAGCTCTTCCTTAACACCTAAAGACTAGCATCATATTTGTGTTTTGTTCTTGTGTGCGTGCCTACAACCATGGCGCCCGTACCAATAATGGACTAACTAGTACCTAATTATCTATCTGTATGCAGACACACTTCAATCATCGCAACCACAACTGGCCTTTAACAAAGCTCTGGCCAAAACTTAGCGTAAATTTTTAACCTCACCAACTTAACCGAGCAGAGTCAGCTTTCACACATACATCGCTCGCCCATTCTACGCAGGGTAATGTCTATATCAATAAATACTCGATAGATATTGGGTATATCTGCTACATCTCTAAGTGCCGAGCGCTGCCGCCTCGCTGGCAGGTTCCGCCGATCAGCTGTGCAGTCGCTCTCGCCGCCTCCAGGCCTGGAAGTCCAGCTCAAGAGCGCGGCGGCCCGCGCTACAGCACTACTCTCGGTATAAAGACTGGTCGGGCGGCGGCCGGCCGTGGACGACGCTAGCGCCACCTTCAACTCTAAATCACTCGCAGCGCCGCCTACTGGTCGTTCTCGGAGAGTGAGGCGCGTGTCCGGCTCGTGGACAGGCCGGCTCGGCTATCCAATGGCCGGTGCCAGGGAGCGGCTCGACCCGAGGACTCGGCTGGAGCGCCGACCGCAGGCAGGGACTAGACCGGCGGGGAGCAGCGCCGACGGTCGGCCGTCAGACTTACCACCGCTGCCGAACAGACGGCCTCCCGAGAACAGCCTGCAACAGGCCAGCCGAGACGCGTTAGGTACAGAAAGGCGCACACAACCCCGACCTTCCAACACGACTATTTACAATGCATTTGTTTAACCGTCTGCTATTCAAGTTTCTATGACAACAGTGGAAAATAACACATCTTAGACACTCAAACAAGCAACACAGTATATCCCCAGAAGTCCTGTTCGTATATCAATGCAATGTCCCTCGTTTGAGCGCCGATGTTGCGCACATATTTGCAACAGCGGGGCCCACAGCCAAGATGTTCACAATCCGGTGATACATTTAGACCGCGCGGCCACAAGTAGCGCCAAGGGTAGTCTGGGAACATCGCAGCACATAGCACATTGATCGAAGATTGACGGATATGGCAAGAGTCAACAAAGACGGGAGCACAATTGGCTGTGAGGAGCATGAGGCCAACATATCCGTCGGAACGGACATAAGTCTGTCAGGGATAAGTGTACACAAGAGACAGAGAAAGGCCTGGAGAGACATGGTAAATGTTAGGCTGGAATGTCAGTAGGAACAACATCAACCTAGCTGTGAGGAGCATACATATAATACTATTTTCAAGGAGCAAAGGCTAATTGTAAGGAAGTGAAAACATAATTGTTACAGAGCTGTGTTGAGAGTTGAGCTGAGCGACAGACTGGAGCTGCTTGAGTGGCCAGCATGGAACTGATCAAAACGATACCCTGAACTGGTTATGTGAGCCGGACAGGGAAGAAAGGAAGGCATGGAGTAACGGGCCGTTTCGGCCGCTGGCAGACGTCGAACAGCACAGGAAGCAGATCCGGCAGTACCCTGCTGCCGAGTAGTCAAACCCCTTAAATTGGAGCCTATTGTCGCTGATAGAGCCCTCAGATATTCCGGTATCGATACCATAGATGCCGCCGGCCAGCCTCGCCGGCCCAGTACCGTGGACAGACATACAGCCAGGGCACACACAGCTCCCACAGACAGACAGACACACAAACGGCGCAGCAAATAGCCGGCCTCGGAGACGATACAGCCAACATTGTTTCTGTTTTAAATTCATCTGGAACGTAGGGTTAGGAGCGCCCGGGGTGAGCCATATGCGTAGGAGAAGCGTCAAATAATTTGAATTAACTAGAGTTTCCTCAATAACTTCCCAAGGTAGCTAACAAATTTTAAAATATATATTTCACTGTCAAGGAAAGTTAAACTCGATGTCAGATTAGAAGTACGACTGTATTCTGTACAATAACGACTCAATAAAGTGAAAGTGGTGTTTCAGAAGGAGCGAACGCTGCATCTCTTATCCCATGCGCATTAACTTCCCCCATTTTCCATGTCTACCATCTACCTATAGTGTGATATTATATGTCGTTGACATTTCTTCACAAAGCATGAGTACGACATGCAGATCATAAAGCGTTGTTTTTCTTTCACATGCACGGGTAACATGTTTTATCTATAAAATTATGGGTTCCATGTATTCGCTCTAGTTTTATGAGTGTACCCTACTTCTACCTCTAGCACAAATACGGGGTTAGGGCGTACTAGTAAAACTGAACATCTATTTCATAAATTACTTTTTTTACTAAACGAACTTGTGGTCAGCTGCTCGGCACAAATAAGGTGGACCGACTGACACGCCTATACCTAAAAGTGAGCGTAGCGCACCTGGACTTTTTGTCGGTTATAACTGTAACGTCTTACCCAGCCAGTAAGTTGGTTTGGCTCAAGTCCGTTTCGCCCCGGCAACTTCGACATGCCAGAGTTGGGCCGGTGTAAACGGAACACCGTCAGATCCGGGGTTTGGGTCGATATGGCTTTATTCTGGTTATCCAGCCTTTGCCATAGCGCTCCCGAGTTGGTATGGTTTCGGACCGCCAAGTCTGGCCCAAGTCCGGCTCCCTGTCACGGCTCAAGTCCGGCTTCCTACGGCCAGGTCCGGCTGCCTCGTAGCTGCTCTGGCTTACTGCGGTTGAAGAACGGTTGAGGTACGGCACGGCTGATACGGCTAAGTCCGGCTGTCGTGCAGGCGAGCTCTGGGATCGTGTGTCAGCTCCAGTAGAGCCCCAGACCTTGCTCGTACTTTGGACGGTGCAAATGACGGAGCTAGCCAGAGTAAAACCAGATACGGTCCAGACCAAAATTGCTGGCTGGGAAGCGACTATTGAGCTAAAAAGTCGGGGTTGTTACAATACCCAACAAGAATGCAACTATAAGGCTAAAAAATGAGTCGATTAAAGGAGCTTCTACCGTCTAAGAAAAAAAACAAACTAAGGGAGAGGTCCGAAGGGGAGCATGTCTCGAAATTCAAACCTATATATAATTAACATTGAACACACCCTATAACTAGGACGATATCTGATAACATTGAACGATGTACCAGTTGATCGCTGAGGTGACACCGGAGGCGGGACTGCACATCAAGAGAGGGTCACACTCAGAACCGGTACAACGGTGGCGGCCACGTCGAACACAAAGCACCGTCTGTACGGCGGCGACAGCCAGGGCGGCCGGCGGCGCAGGAACACCGGGCGATGACAGAGCCATCTACATCAAACACTAGCGCCACCTATATCGGGAACACCCAGCGCCGGCACTCGCCGCCACTTACAAACGTCTCACAGCCGGATTTGAGCTTCATTATTAGTTTGCCGAGACTGCGAAATCGATATTATGCATTAGCGTAGTAGAAAATCAGACCCTTTCAGAACACTAGTTAAACAGTAAAATGGAAGCCATTTGATGGGCACTGTCCTATAATTGAGACACGGGATGACGTGTTTTTTTTTCCAAAAATATATGGTGGACATGCTGAACTGGACTCCAATATCACTCCACGGATCACTCTACTATTTTTAGACGATATTAGGTGTAATCGATGTTTTTTAATCAAAATAATCGCACCATATATTTGTTTTTCTTCTGTGGATGCGTTTTTGCCCGGCCATGCTTTCAGAGATCATGCCCATTCTCATCCGGATAGTCCAGGTATCTTCACTGAATTAGATGTTATAATGCTAGCAAGGGAAAGGTAGTCTACTGAACTGTAGTACGGGTTCCACTTCCTCATGTATATGCGGTTCTAATAACCCAATTCGGGACACGGACGAGCGAAGGTGAGCAACGATAAATGGTCGAATTAGTGATATTTGCATTAAATATTTTTTATCAAAGACCTAACACATATTCAGCCAAAGGTCGTATGGATTCAATATTTGTCCACACCTAAAATGTCACTTCTAGCGGTGGCGCCTCCCCCAGCCAAGTCGTTCAATGTCATCAGGTCCCGTCTCCGTCTCATCCTATCCCAACATGCCCCGTCTCTCACGTTCGTGGCAGACCCCGTCCCTTTCCACCGTTCTCCCGGTTACCTGCGGCTCGGCGGACGGCCACCTTGCGCCGCTAGTAGGGCCGGGACGAGTCCTTGGGCCGCTTCAGCTGCACCTTGAGCCGCTTCATGCCAACCTGAAAGCCGTTCATGGCCTGTATGGCCGCCTGTGCCGACGCCGGGTTATCGAAACTCACGAACCCTGCCGGCAAAAAGACACTCATAAACAGATGTAACTTGTGCTCAAGTCAGTACCATTATTTATCCCTGGCGAAATCGCCGTGAGCGATTTCGGGTGTTTGAACAGTTTTTTTTTTTGCCAGCTGCGAAACTCCAGACTATCCACAAACAGTCACAACGAAACCTGTCATTTCTGACACACTCTGGATACATCTCCATCCACGGCTCAGCTCGATTTTTCCCTCCCTTCTCTCGGCCGCCGTTAGCGATAGATGTGGAGGAACCTCTCTGCGCTCCTAAGCGCGCTAAGACTCGCCGTTGGGCGTCCTTTCTGTGACTGTCAGGGGAGCGGGGCACGTCTTAGAGGGCGGCGTCTGGCACAGACAGGTCGTACTATAAGCCGTCGGAATGGACTGCCAGACGGCGCGAAGTGGTAGGCAAATCTCCCTCTCCTTTTCGGCTAAACGACGGTCATTTCTTTTTCTCTCTTGTCGACGTCCACTGCCCTTACATGCCCAGTTCACACACACTCTTCATTGGTGCCGTATCACGACCCCAGCTTTTATCTGTCGTCCCCACACCCCTGTGTTCTTTCATCCGTCATTTCCCCTTTTTCATTCGCCCTCCGCCCTCTGTTTGCTCGAACCCTCCGGGCCCGGCGCCAGGGGCAGGGTGGCTCGGCCCACAGCGGACCGAGCAAAGGCCTACAAAAGCACGAACCGTCCAAACCAGCACTTTTACGAGCAACATCCACAAATAACCTCAACGGATGGATGACACCGATCTGGACCCGGGCCCCGCCAGCATCTCCCTCTCCCAGCAGAAGTCCGACTCCCTGAGGACTCCGGCGCCGCGCCGGGTATCGATCGGCCTCCCCTCCCCCCCGCCGCTGCGTGTGTATCGTCTATTTACGAGTCGGAGCGCGGCACAGCCCCGGCAGCCGACCAGCCACCTGTTGCAGGGGGTAAACGCCGGTGTCGGCGCTCACTCACCGAAACACTTGCTCTGGTTGGTGGCACGGTCGATGAACACCTTGGAGGAGATGACGTTGCCGAACGGCAGGAACATCTGCATGAGCTCAGCGTCGCCGAACTCCTGCGGCAGGTGGTAGATGAAGAGGTTGCAGCCCTCCGGGCCGCTTATACTGCACCCTGAGGGAGAGAGCAGGTCGCTGAGCAGACAGGGAGAGACAGAGGGCAGAGGGGTCACGTCCCGGGTCAAACCAATGACGACGTTCCGATTCCGAGCTAGATTCGGGGCTTTTAGCCGGTCGGCGCGACTAGCCATCATCAGAGGCCGGCGCGGCAGCTTTACCGAGCCCTATCGTGATGGGCCTTCATAATGGTGCTCCGGCTGGGCGGGACAAGCCGTCGCAATCGTTCCGTCGATCACGCGTCGGAGGGAGAGGGGGACGGGGCGGGGCAGAGAGGGGGAATAAATCAGCTGGCACCAATGACGCCGCGCCGGCCGGGCATACCGCGCGATTGTTATGAGTCGGCCGGCAGTGATGTGTGAACAAACGCAGCCGACCCGAGTCGGCCAGTCCCACAGTGTAAAAACAACACGATACTACCGCGCTGACGATGACAGGCTCGGCATGCACTCAGTCCCGGGCCGACGGCAAACACTGTACGGTAAAGGGGCAGACAGAAATGCCAGCGACAGCGCTGGCAGCCGGCCAACATCGACAGCATGCACAGGGCCGCAGCGAGCGGGAATCGATAATCGATACAAACATAATGACGGGTGGAGATGTTCGGTGGGAATTTCTCTTCGAGTTTCCGACCACAAAGAATAAGAAACGGACCCTTTCTGAGCAATAACAGCGCCGTTGAAATTGCATGAGCATATTTACAAGCGGACGCAATAAACGTCAATGGATTGGTCTGTGATAGTGTCAGGAAGAGTTATCGGCAGTAAGCCATCCGCTCGATGAGAGCCGCATTCAATTTCATGGACGTCGCCGCTGGGCCAGACAGAGTGCGACGCCACACGGCAGCCTCTGGGGCCGGGCCATGCCGGTTTATACCACAGAGACAAACAGGAACTACTGGGGACGTGCAATCATAGATTCTATCGGGGAGGGGATACCTCAGGCACGCATGCTGCATTCAAGAACAAATTAATCCACGAAGAAACATTGATACGGCCCAGTGGGCCATATAGGAACGTCACAGCAAAACAGACAGAAAGACAATGAGCGGTGACAAGCGGGCGAGTAGACAAGCAGGCGAGAGTGCGAGCAGCTCGAGTGGCGGTGTTACCTTGACGCGGCAGAACCAGCGGCTGCGCGGCCACGATCGGGGGATAGGGCTGGGGGAAGGCGGCTGCAACACACACAGAAACCGGCCATCAAACACTGAGAGCCGCGCCAGGCGCGACACACCGACACACTCAGATGAACGCGGACGGCGGACCCCTGTCCCCCACACCGCGCGGCGGCTCCCTCACCGCGCGACACGCAGACACACATAACGACACACGCAGTACATACATGTACCGATCAACTGCCCATATACAGCCACCGATGCAGCCAGCATGCAGGGGCCCCGCTTTATCCTCCGTCCCACAGATTCCAAATGGGATGTCTGATTTCCTACAGTTATTGCTACGACTATCTATCCTGAATGCCCTCTTTATATTAACCAGTGGGTACTGGGTACCCACAAGACACACACCTCGACTTGCCCCCCCAAAAAAAAACTTTTCAAAACATTTCTTCCTAGAGTTGTGAAAACAATTCCAGTAGGTACGGAAAGACCGGCCGGCGCGGCGGCCGCGGCTTGTCCGGTACAGCCTACATTCAGGCGTTCAATAGCCCTGCCATCTAGCGGCAGAACTAGTAAGCATGCACGAGTTGCAATTAGATCTGCTTCTCAGGACAGCTTTTGCGAACGACGGAATTTCAGTTACACCTTCTTTATTTAAAGAACAAAATGACGCATCTACTGTATCAAATATCAGCATCAGTGGAAATATGAAATATCAGTGGAGCTATCAGCCCCAGCGGCCCGTGGCGAGGCCCGTCGGTTCCACGGCTCCGTCGGCAGCGACCCGGGCCGTGATGGACGCCGCCGCGGCCCGGGCCGACTGTTGCGCCGTTCCTGACAGACCGCCGGATGCGGGAACATGGCGGACTGATGGCGCAGCACGCGACTGGTCCGGGCCGGGTTCGGCCGACCGACCGTCGCCGGCGGAAAGTCGGCCATCCCCGCGCGGCGGCCAACTCTGCCGCCCGGGCCCAACTTTGGCCCGCTCTCAATACCCATTTGGGGCGACCAGTGTCCGGACAGTTTCTCGGTAAACGCCGCGAAGACGCGGGCGGCGGAGGAACGGGAGCGACTATCGTGGGAGGTCCGTAATGGGGTGAGATAGTCTTGCAAGACCAGGCGAAGGTACGACGCTAGTTCAGGATGGTGTTTCCATACTCCGGCTCCCAGCCATTACATTACCAATGGAACAGTACGGGTGGTAACGTACTTAGTATAGCGGGCTGGTTGGGTACAAGTTTTACTGAGTTTACTATGAATTTAATGTGCATAAAGTAAATGGGTTTTGCAAGAGGCTTTCGTAGAACGGAAGCACCGTTCAGAGATCACAGTGGCAAATGAAAAAAGCACGCGCTGAAACTAGCTGCTTTAGTTTACTATCTGCTAGGAGCTTTTCACTGTCTACATATTAGAGAAAGAATCCCATTCTGAGGTCTTTTGGGAACAGCAGGGGGCGGCCAGTGCAGTGGTTACCACTGAACCAATAAAAACCAACGTCCACCATCCCTCTAACTGGGCGCGGCTGTCGGAGTGTCAGCCTCGGGGAGAGGGTAGAGGGCTGGAGTTTTAGTTCGGACAGAGGGCGGGGGGAGGACTGGGGACACGTCGCGTCACATCAGCGCTGCAGTCGGCGCCGAGAGTTCACAATGGAGCGTCCCCGGCCGGACGACTGTCTATTGGACGCCAGTTCGCCACTGGCCAGCGCGGCGCGGCGCTGTTCATGGAAAAACGGCGCCGACGCGGACTCCCAGACCATTCGTCCAGCCGACACAATGACCGCGGAGCTGCTGCAAACAAAACTATCTCCCCGACTGCTTCCGACAATAATCGCCTAGTGTGGCGCAGCACAACGGACGACCGGTTGGACTCCCAATAGGCAGAACACATTTAATGAAATAAGAAAACGTGTTCAACACTCTCTTGATGGGAGATTATCAATCCCACAAGATGATTTTTTTCAACTACGACTCAGTAAATAAAGTATAATGAAGCCATTCCACTCCCCGAGCCTAACAGATAAGCTGGAAAATCCCACATCCTCTCAACACTAATCCCCCGCGGAACACCACACCGAAAGCTGAACACCGAACGATATTGACACCGACAGTGAGACCGTCACGGGGCCGAGTCAGAGTCAGTACTCACCGACTCCGGAGTAGGGCATGCCCGGGTAGGGCGGACTCTGGAGCGCCTCCCCGCTGATCGGAGTCGGTGATGACAGCACTGGAAGGCGGGGAACAAAGAGGTTATGACTGGGGGGAGAGGGCCGGCTTTAGCCGACAGTCAGTGAAGGACTGTTTCTATTCAACACGAAACGCCATGGAAGCGTTACTATTTATATGTATGTATAACAAACTCGGGAGATATTAAACTGCATATTTGTTTCACGGACGTAGCACAGCGTCGCTTACATCGTGAGCATGACCATAGTTCGCTAAACGCAGATATACGGAACCGTAGGGCGCAGTTCACAGGGTTCCAGACTCCAGTCCACTGCCTTCCCCACTCTCCCTTCCTCCCTCCCTCTCTCCGCTCTCCCCCGAGACTGTAGTTTGGCCCTGCCGGCGACACGCGAAAGCTCTCGAGCTGCCGGCCGCTGGGGATTCGGAAATGTCACCGGGCCGCACGGGAAGGAGACCTCCGAGCGGCGGCCGCGTCACCGGAGACGGCCGGACCGCGCCCGTGGTGACGACATACTCTGACCGGTGACGACACACTCCGACCGGTGACGACACACTCTGACCGGTGACGTCATTTATAACAAAGGGGAGACATCTATGACCCAGTCGGTAGTCTGTGGCCACTGAAAAAGCCATGTTTGTGTTGCAAAGAAAACAGCCTCTCTCTATCATTACAAAAACTCAGTCTGAGACTAAACAAAGCCTTACTTTAACTTTAAAGTCATTCAAAGCAAAGGACTTTCACATGTTGTGAAAAAAAAACATAAAACGTAGCGCATTCAGATATTATCACTGCATCCCCATTCCCCATATCAAATCAGGCACCATCATCAGGAGCAGTCTCACTACAATTGTCACACACAGCACACGGGGTTGGGGCCGTACCGTACTCACAGGCCGGGTAGGACTGCGGCAGCCCGTTGGTGTAGACGCCCGCCTCGGACACCACCTGGGGCTGAGACGAGGCCGGCGCGCCCACACTGAACGTCGACATGGTCGGTGACGGCATGTTGGGCAGCACCCCGTTGCCGGAGGGGGCCGAGCCTGTAGGGTAGACGGGGAGGGAGGTTAGGAGAGACGGACAGGGACACGAGCCGCCTGTGTATGTTAGAGGAGGGGGCCGAGCCTGTTGGATAGACGGGAAGAGGAAATGAGGTTAGGAGAGAGCAATAGGGGCGCAAAGTACCGGAGGGGAACGAGTAAGTGCGACAGATGGTAGAAAGGGATGGTTAGGGGTAAATCGAAGTTGGTCATACTTGGACCAAGCCGTCAATGATAAATGGAAGGTTGCAAATGTGCATTTGCGGTTGGAAGGGTTATGAATTTCCGGTGATTATACAAAGCATTTATCGAAGCGTTCATAAAAGATGGCAAAAAATGAAAGAAGCAGGGCGAACACCAATCAGACTAAATGCTACGCTACACTTAAGAATAAGTCAGCAAAACCTAAAAAAGCGAGACTCCAATTTGGCTACCCTTCCTCTTTTTGTGACAATGTACTAAACAAGCATCGACATAAGGATTACAGGCCTAAGCATTTGAGCAGCAGGTAAACAAAGACATCGATCCACATCGGGCGAGATCGGACTCGGCGCAATTCATTACCGGCCGAATATGAGCTCCAACTCATCAGCCGGGCCGCCATGGTCAACTCAGTCCAATCACATTAGGACTGCTGCGGGATCGCGCACATTGCACACGCCAGGTCAGCAGGTCAGGCTGAAATGAGTTCGATGAAATGTCGACCAGAAGCGCATCAGGAAGTTGACAGGTGGAAGTTTGAATCAGGTGCGCGACTTCCGATGTCATGTCCGAGCTCAGTGACCCGCAACATGGTCCCAGACAGACTTACGGCATGTTCAGATAAAAAGAAGGCATAAATATTCTAATAAGTTGATTGGTTTGGTCCATCTTGGTTTATTCAGCGACGCTCAGCTGCCGTAATGCTTCCGCCAATCACAGAAATGGACTCGATGATATTGTTTCCCGGCCCTCGCTTGGCCTGTAAGCTATCAAGCGATGTACTATGCATTACACAAACGCGCTTGTCAATGCAAATGGTTTGCTATGATGAAGATTAATATTGCCGCGATGATAATGTGCGGATTCTCCGGCGTTATCCAAGTAGCCTCATAAGCTAACCGGTATTTTCCGCTCATGCATTTCGAGCAGTTTATATCCAGTAGACCTCAGCCGGCGGCGTAACCGCGCAGCTCCCCAGCCCTTCGCGTGTTTGTCGAAGGCAGCGAATGTCCAAAACTTGTCCGGAATGAATATTAACTTTGCGCGCGGCTGGCGCGGTGCGGCGGCCGGCGGCGGTCCAAGTTCGCCAGCTCCTGCTCCGTCCGTCTCCCCCAGTCGGTCCGCGGGCGCTTCCGTCAAATACTGCACACCGCACACCGCATCCGACCCGCTAATTACCGCCTCACGGGAAGCCCGACAAAAACTCCAGCGCGTCCAACTTTGCGCTGTAAGCAAACAGCTCGGCTCCCCTGGGGCAGACCTCGGGATACCTGAGCCGCCGGACCGCGTCGCCCGCCGCCGCCGGCCGCGCCGGGCGGCGCCTCAAGACGAGCGCTCACACACCAGAGCGCCGGCCCGTTTTGACAGCCAAATTGGCCCCGACCAGGCTCGGATGCATATTACATGAGGCCGTCGTCAGAGGGCCGCAGTGCCGCGCGGCCCGCCATGATATATACGGTCCACAGACAGCGGCCTGCGCTGGGCTTGCCTGAGCAGCTCCACTGTAGCCGCGAGACAGCGAAGCAGCGCTAGCCGACACTTCCCACCTGACGAATGTGACTCATGTCGCATGTTGAGACGTACAAGCCGGTGGTGTGAACACCGCAACATAAAACATAAGTTCAGCTTCAGTGACAATCGAGACTAGCGTTCACACATGTAGGATTAGAACTATTAGCATGTTAAGCTTCTTGCGCGGAGAATGGAGCGGTAAGACTGATAATTTTGTCTGAAGACAAAGAAGATCAGACTAGGGCAGAACTACTCCACCATATCAGGCGAACAATCTATCCAACGCCCTTAAAAGAGATGTAATATTTCATCCTCTCAGATTTATATCTCCGCTACAGCTTTCGCCGACAATTTCAAAAGAGTTAAACAATCAGATCGGTTGGTTTTATATCGTTCATACTTTGAAGCACCGATGCTGTATATTGGACAACTTCCAGAATTTCCAGGCTGGCGTGGCTGTTCTTTGGGTTAAGTTCTGTGAAGGCGGGAGGATCCCATACAGTGCACACGCAACTCTAGCATGTAGTTCCCTCGCTGCCTGACATCTTATCCAAGCCAGTGCCGCCGCTGGTGCCAAACTCCCGGCCTTTTCAAACTTTAACTAAACGTGTGCAATGCCAGGCAAAGTACGCCCGACTTGAAGCACGGAATCCATTTCACAAACTCGTCTGCATGGGATATAGTTACATTTCATCTTTAAGTGAGCATGTCGCAAGTGCAGGGTAAAGTTCGGATGAGAAGCATTGAGAAGACTTATGGAAACACTCGAGTGAGGATTGAATATCACAGTAAAGATTCATCAGGTCTGAGTCGGGCGGTGGCTCCACCGGAGCAGAGGCGGCGCCGATAAAGGTTGCAGGATTCTCACTGCGAGACTGGTGAAACGTGTTCTCTTCAGCACTGTTCGAGATCACTGCATGACAATGGGCGCCTCTGCGCTCTGCAAACCCCATTCACATCTCGCAGCAAACAGCTTTTTATGCTCGTTGAACTATCTACTCATGCCTGGATGATGTGTTATATATGGATTCATAGCCTTCTGTACACCAGACCTCGGTTTACAGAGGCCTATGATGTATGACAGCAGTCATACGGTCTACGGGAGACAAGAAACCGTTTTTATACGATTTTGAAAAAGAGCTGGCTGACTGGTACCAGACCGTACTGACCTGTGGAGGTGGGTACAATCGTACTCGGTATGCCGCTGGGCAGTGTACCGTGCGGCAGGTGCGCCAGCGCCGCCATCGGGCTGATGTAGCTCCCCTGGGCGGCGGCCATCAGTGCCGCCTGCTGCTGTGACGCACATCACACCGACACAACTGACGTCAGACTCACGACACGCGAGATTCAGAACGAAAACGGATCGGGTTCGGCAGAGGGGCCGAAACGTCATAGCTTCAGCTGAAAATTAAGTGATGCTTGGCAATGAATTTCACTCAGTAATGCATGAAATCACAGATCACAAACGACTTTGTTAGATTTTCCGTTGAGTTGGCTGTCCCATCCCGTCGTGATCGCGGTCACTCGAATCATTCTTTGTCTCTCCGGCGCTCCGCCAGTGACGCCATTATCAGAGCCCGTTATTAAATCACGCGACACGATCTGAATTAATATGCGCCCCCCGCGCTGCCACTGCCGCGTTAATTATGCTAAAATGATTAATGATAACACCTGGTGTCTGGTGGTGGTTCATATCTAGCCCAGCAATGGATGACTGGAGCGCGCAGTCCCACAGACCGGCCGGCTGGCAGAGAGATTGGAGCGAGCTCCAGTCGCCCCCCCCCCCCCCCACTATCAACAGCGGCCCCAGTGCGCACCCTTGTGGCAGGTGAACTCACATTGTCCACGACCTGGGCGTATGTGCCGTAGGCGCCGAACTGGTTGAAGACGAACGGCGAGAGCAATCCCATGTTGCCGGACATCTGCTGCATCCTCCTCAACTGGCGCTCTTTCTCAGTATCGGCGAACTTGACCACCAGGCTGGACGATGCTCCCTGAGATCACAACGAGAGCGGTTGGTGAGAAAGGCAGAGGAGTAGTCACCGGACACTGGACGGATAAGTAATGATGCTGGGTCAGAAGAACAGCGGAAGAGCGGGACAGAGCATTAGATACTGGATGGGTAGACCAAAGGACGATGCTCTCTGGGGTCAGGACAGTGGGTGAGCAGGCAGAGCAACGGACAGACACGCGGACAGGCCGAGGACAGTGCGCCTTGGGATAAAACCGAGAGCAGTGAACTTACAAGAGCCTTGGACGGGCCGACGGAAAATGTTCTCCGGGATCAGAAGAGACACGTGTCGAACGTGACAGAGCAGCAGAAAGGCGCAAACCGGACAGAGGGTGGGCCGGGAATTTCAGAGTGATAATGTAATGGGTATACGGTGATGTGCGTCTACATATACAAAGATTATCATGTAAAGTAAAAGGCCATGGACATTTGACAATATTCGATATTTTGTGATGGTCTCTTAAAAAAAAAACTACACATCAGTCTTGGTAAATAGTTATTGTGGACGTTGTTGGACCTCCTATGCTATGTAATGGGGGAAAATGATTCATTAAAATAGAAACTTCACCCCAACTTGACAAAGGATTTCCAATAACAGCTTGCAAGCATCAAGCGCAGATCTGTCAGATATTGAATCAAATTATAGGCCGTGACCTTTCAAATATTTCCTGTTCCTCAATTGTAGAAATGTAAGGTCAGCTTAGACATTGTGCTCGACAGTACAATATCATCGGCTTGAGACAAGGAAACGTAAAATAACCGACACCGAGCGTTTGGGCGGGCGAAAATGCCGTTCCAATAGCCTGGCTTAGTGAAAACTACTTTCAACAGAAACAGTACAATCTGAGATCTCCCTGAGCACCGTGAGAGCGGATTTCCCGTCCGTCGGTCTATTGCCAGAAGAGCAGAGTTTTCACCACCGTCCCAGCACAGCATCCCTCTCCCCAGCCCCTCGGTCCCGCCCCATGAGACTTTCCCCACCGTGAACGACAGCAGAAGGGCGTAGCTCAGTCAAATGTTAACCCGGCGCCGCCGCGCGCGCCCGTCGCATGAACAACTTTGCAAATCCTTCAGCTCGCTAACCGGATCTGAAGGCAAACTTTGTCGGCGTCGGGCCGCTGCGCGCCGGAGGGCCGGGCCGGGCTGACGGAGGGCCGGGGCCGGTCGTGCGGGTCGTGTCACGTCAGGTCACTGAGCGACAGGCCGGACGGGCCGCCGGCGGCGTCAGTTCCGGGCACCAATCAGCGCGCCATCGGTATTTACTTTGGAACTCATGTCAGGACTGGTGATGGCCGGCGCCCACTGACAGAGCCCCGGTCAGTCAGCGGCCGGATGGACCGACGGACAAAGGGAGTCGGTCAGACTGGCAGGCAAGCGGGCAGACGTTCAGACGGTCAGACGGATAAACGGTCAGAGAGACAGACGGTCAGCCCGCCAGAAAGACAGACAGACAGACAGACAGACAGACAGACAGACAGACAGACAGACAGACAGACAGACAGACAGACATACAGACAGACAGACAGACATACATACAGACAAACAGACAGACAGGCAGACATACAGACAGACAGACAGACAGACACAGGCAGACGGACAGCTCGGCCGGACAGACAGACGGACAGACAGAGTGCTGACCGAGCCGCTGCCACTCGACCGCCCATTCAGAGAAGAAGGCGACGGCGCGCCGCCAGTGAAAGCTGGTCTGGCAGAAGAATACTCCTAACTACGCGCCTCTGATTGGCGGCTGGAGACGGCCTCCTCCGCCCGCCACTGCCAGCTTCAAAGTTGGACGGCTTGAAAAGACAGACTGATGACCCGTTAAGATCACCTCGGAGCACTATCAATACGCCGATTTGGTGGCAATCCCGTCTCATCTGAGCGCAGCGCTGCGCCGGCGGGACGGGGCGGGGAGAGGAGAGAGGGGCAGCGAGCGGGGAGGTCGGAGGCCGGCAATTTGAGAAACTCGGACGACGCTTGGTATCGACCGGGTCAACAGGCGGCGGCGGCGGCGGCGGCGGCGGCGGCGGCGGTGTGAGCCGCCGGCCGGGAAGGGAGAGCGGACGGCCGCCGCCGCCGGCCGTCGGCCGTACCCTAATGACGCCAGCGTCACCGCCGCCGGCCGAGAGGGGCGTCATTACAGCGCGCCGGCGGCGAGCGGGCCGTGTCCGCGCGCCGCGCCGCCGGCCCTGATTGGCGACCGGCCCGCGCCGCGTGTCGCGCCGTGTCGCACGTAATGAGGCCGCTCCGACCGCCGACCGCCCTGGGTCGGGGAGCCCTCCCACCGACCGCCAGCCGACCGCCCTAGGTCGGGGAGCCCTCCCGCCGACCACCGCTAGGACAGCGCTGAGTCTGTATCAGTGATACAGAGCGTCCGCCAGACCAGCTAAAAAACGGACACCGATGCTGTTTTCTCTCGTTTAGAGCTTCATTTCCGGCGAAATGATGTCGCGCCCAGGGACGATATACAGCGGAAGAGAGCAGGGCGGGAGAGAGGACTGGGAGTGCGATACGGTTCTCAGACACAGCTCGCTCGCTCGTAAAACCGCCGCTTATTACCGTCCGCTTTGGCTGGTGATCGGATGCAGAGTGTGTGCTGCGCTGAACATCAAACGGAAGAACGGAATACTGATGGTTTGATTTTCTCGGCGACAGGAATAATTACGCATCATTAAAGGGAAAGGTGCAGTTCATCATTTTGCTTAAAGCTAACGTTGAGCGTTATATACAGAATGAAAGTTGTCGATGGGCATTCGACCAAGCGCCATCACCTCATAACGGCACAACGTCGAAAGCTGTTTTTATGTGCATTTCCTGTTGAACTTTTACAGACAGGTTTCATTCTTTTTCTCTAACATCCATCACTGATATCAACTGCACTAAAATGTACATTAATAGCATTAGGTTAAATTGCTCTATTTTTATCATGGCCTGCAGCTATATAAAGTAACTAATCCGTAGTGGACGCAGGGGACCTGTTCTCTTTAGCCACAGGAACGGCGAACGTTTATCCGCCGTCTAAAGGTGGAATCTCGCACGATCCGGGCTCGAGTTCAGCGTTCACGACATTCAGCCATGACGTAGATCGTCCCATAACGGTACTCACGGGCATCGTTTGGCTACCGTGCAAGCTCTCGATCGCCGCCTGTGCTTCTTGGTGTGACGAAAACTTCACAAAAGCACAGCCTGTGGGCAAGGCAGAGCGGTACGGTAACACATACGGACGACAATATGTGTTCGGAGCATCGTTTCAGTAAAGCACAAAAAAAAACTCTTGACTGCTGCTAGAATAGCCAATTACAGCAAATGTTAGGGAGTTAATAGGCTGCATCTCTATTTCGAAGCTTTAATGCCTCTCTGCATAGTTCATAAAGATTTAAAACACAAATGATCCTCATATTTCACGCCAATACGCATGATGTTCCTTTGATGTCCTCGGCTAGGATTCTGCACAACAGCTCGAATGAGGGTCGACACCAACTCACTGATACGCAACTGTTTACACACAGCCGCGAGCATCGCCGCTGTAGGTTGTGCGGGTTAGTCTACCTACCAGGTAGTGGCTACTAGCGACATCTATTGAGTGTTTCTAAAACTACACCTCTCCGCCGCGCCTGTGATGGATGCTAGGCGCCGTGTACCCCATCAGTATTCAGTTCCAGTATTTCTCTGGGCATATGGCTAATGTTAGTCGTTTGAACTGTCATAAATACGACAATTTATGGCCTGTCGGACCACAAAACTGGAGTGGCTGCCCTCAATCAGGCCTCGCCTTCTGCCGGCGCGGCCTGAACAGAGGCGGAAAGGTCGGGCTCATCACGGCCCGCTACGGGCGCCGGCCCGGTTCCTGGAACCAATCTGAGACAGCCTTTTCCGGCAGCTTTGGCCATGACAGTGTGTAACCTTTCTAACTAGCCGATTTATTGGAAGCGCGGGTCACAGTGTCGCGGGTAGTTTATTTGGTAGGCTGCTGCATCCATCGCATCGATCCATGCAACAGCATGGCAGCGAGATATCTGGGAACCAAGGGCTTTATCACTCATGAACAGGAACGAATTTTCAATTTCATGCCTTCTCGTACTTGATAGCTTTGCCCCTAAGACACTGTCCCAGTCTTTGTGACGTGATGTCAGTCGTCAGCATGAGAAGCAGCAGTGCACCCGACAAGTGTCTACGAACCTTTGCTGACTCCGTCGACACCGCGCAGAATTGTACACTCTTCAATCGGTCCGAACGGCTGAAAAAGCTGCTTTACGTCTTCTTCAGTCTGTTGCTTGCTTAGCATACCAATAAAGAGTTTCCGGTCTTCTGAAAAGAAAAAAAAAGTCATTGTATAGCGACCAGGGGCGACGGGAGCAAGAACAATAGCGAGCCTGTCGCACCTTCTTCAACGAATGGATTAACATAAATTCCCAATGCTGCTGTTGCGCAGATAGCGCCATTCACTGTATAGAAACACAAAGAAAGACGAAATATTTCACTAGCAGGCTGTTCGAAGAAGTGTACTATAATTTACATCCCAAAAACTGAAAGCAGTCATCGGGTAAAAATCATACAGTGCAGCCATTCAGTGAATGAACATACGAGTAAAAGCAGTAGATTCAGCACACTACCTTGCGTCTGGTCAGTGGTCAGATAAAATTGCAAGCTAAGCCCAAACCCCCTAATAAGCAGCTATACTATTTCGAGTCAATTTCGATCAGCACACCAGCTGATGGGACGACAGTGCCACCCTGCAGCGGCTAACGCAGCCGTGATTCGGCAGATTAGCCCCACAGGGGCGGGGCCGCCCGGTCAGCCGCCCTGCAGCAGCGGTAGCAGCGGACGTGGGTGAGCGGTCCTCTGAACAGCGGCTCAGCCCGGCCGGCCGGAGCAGGTGGCACTGCTCAGATTGTGCCACTCCGCCGGCCGTCTGCCAGGTTCATAACTCAGGCGGGACCGTCCATCATCCGGAGACGGAGACAGAGCTGTGTCCGGGAGACTCTGAGTCAAGAGACTGAGCTGGGAGCTAGTGGAGTACGGGCCTGCAGGTTGGCGCCAGTGTGACAAAGAGCTGAGTCGGGATTCACGAGCAGGTAGCATTGGGGTTGGAACGGATCAGAGTCAAAGCAACAGCTGGCAATGGGAGTTCACGGAACTGTTAGTCTGCAGCTACAGGATCTCAAAACTATGACAGGTGCTATATTTTCCGAAGACCGCTGGTGCTGCATTTTTCAAAGACCGTAACTGTACGGGGATTTCCCGGATCCAGCGAAGAAGCATAGCGCCGAGTGTTTCTCGTGCCTGGCTGAGCCACCGCCTCTTGAGCGGTGTGCCGAGAGGGGCCCGTCCGATTACGGGGCCTCTCGCTCGGCCAGCCACCTGTTTGAGATTCATTTTCATCTATATGCCGGACCGGTGGAGCGCAAAGCTCGGCGTCGGCCCGAGCATCACTCACGATTCAAGGCAACGCTCGCAGCTGGCTGGCTCTCCTCCCCTGCACCTCTCCGGGATCGGCCACCACCTCCGGAACAGACGGACTTCTGAACAGGGGTGAGGAGGCTAGATCAAACTCCTCTAAATAGGGGCTAGGTTAGGACAGTAGCGGTGAATATGGCTCAGGATTGACCTAAAAAAATCTAGCAAGAGGTGGACGGGCGGTATTTAACGACGGTAAAAAATGAGCACGAGCGCACACGATAATATCTCTGAGAGCGTCAACTATAGGGGTTAAGTGCACTCAGGAGGCCATGTGGTTTTTGTAAATGGACGTTATATGCCGTAACGGTGGAGTGTCACGGAACACTCACAGCGTAATGGTGCACCGCCTAATAGCGTCACATAATAAATGGCTTTAATGACGCTTTACAGACTCATCAAGCGGGCAGCCGCTTATCAACCGCCCCCGGCTCACCGGCGGCTGGTGATCCGAAATGGCGCCGCTGGTTCTGGCAGGCACCGAAGAGCGATACCTTTCGGAAGTCAGCCGCAATTGCCGGCTGCGCGACGCTGCCGCCAAACTTTGTGTAATGGATATTGAGCCCCGAGGTCCCACCAGTGAGGCCGCAATAGTCACCACTCGGGCTGTCCCGCACTGTTCGTAGCACGCACTTTGGCGGTGGTGCGGACTGTTCACGGTGGTCGCAGCTGTTCAAAATTGTTCAGGACTGTTCAGTGATCACAACTGTTTGCAAGACTCCATGTTGCTGAACTAAACTATTCGCTGCAGATCTGCATTACGCAGCGAGAGGTACCCAGCTGGAGTCAACAGGGTAATTGAATTACGCTGCCTTCCCCAGAGGACGCAATGCTCAGTGACCTGTCGATTATGAAAGTCACCGGCTGGCGTTTGCTTTCACATCGCATTACATTGCCTATGCAAGTCTTGCGTTGCACGTTTGGTCATGTAGCGTAACATTGCTTAAGGATAGAGGCCATGTATTACCAATGCTTGGAAAAAAGGGCTCCCTCGCCATGTCAAACAGTCATGGACACCCGCATGTGCGACATGAGAAGTTTCACCACAGTCTGTCATGACTTCCATCATATGAAAAAATACAGGTCTGGAAATTACAAAAACGTGCTACTCTTTCACACTGCTTGCTTATTGTAAGCATTATTTACTACAGTTCATTACTTTTGCTACTAAGGAAACATAATTAATGAATTTACCCCAGACACGGATGAACTCGGTTGCAAATCTAAGGATGAACAAGTTGGAAACCAAGTCAAGGTTACGCCTGGACTGTCACGTTTCAGCTGTCCGATGTGCTGACCTTTTCAAAAGGAACGTCGGAGTTGCCACATTTCAGCGACACAATTGGGATGCAATAAAGAAAGTCTGTATCTGGTGCTACCAGCCGCATCGCGGTCTGGCCTCGCCAGTCGGAAGTCTGTCAATATCAGGGTGGCCACAAGCAGTCGCCGTCCGTCAGAATGCATTACAAAACACACCAGCCACTGAACATGGCTGGTTTTCAAGTTCCGGCCATCATTTTAGCGACTCGGCCGACGGAGGCGCGGCGAGCCTTCAGCCGCAGAAGCCGGCCCGGGCCGGCCCGATCCCGCAGCCCGGCAAATCCCTGTTCATCTTTCCACAGATCACCAGCCGGTCACGTGCTATCGATTAGAGCATTGATCGCCTCTGGCGGAGCGGCTTACACTGATTACAGTCGGGAGCCGGCGTCCGCCCGGGCCGGGCCTCTCAGCTTTAAACTCGGCCGAGCGGGACGGGCGGCATCGCTCGTCGCTGCATATACGGCGCTGGGGCGGGCGGCGACGGACGGCGGCCGGGCCGAGCGGGGCCGGGGCCGGGGCCGGGGCCGGGCCGAGCGGGGCGGCTGCGTCTGTCAGATACGGTCCCCGGACCGGGGAGGAGAGAGAAATGGATCCCGCAGCGAGCGACGCCGCCGCCCGGATGTTCAGACGAGGACGAACACGAAAATAAATTTAGACCTTCAGAACGTGACGCGAATACAGCCAACATCGAAAACACAACCGACCGTTTAAATGAAACACTAAATAAGAAAGAGCGCTCCGTGCCAGTGAGGTGATCTCAGTGAGCGTGTTTCTACGCCACAAACAAGTCATCATCCCCACAGTTCCCCTCTCTTCCAGCGCGCTTTCCAATGAGTTGGCTCTGCACTCGCCGGGCTGGCCATCAGGTGACCAGACCGCAGTGGCTGGTCGGCTCTGAGGAGCCTGCCCCGCGGCCTCAGCCGACCGGCCCTCTGAGCTATAGTCAGCAGCACTGCCTGCATACGAAACGCCACCACTAATGTGCTTTTGCATAAACGGATGAGTCTGAATTTAATTTCTCCCCAAAGAGTGCGGCTGAGGAGACTGGGCGGCCGGCGCGGTCGGCGACCATACGCTCAGAGAACCAAAAACCGGGACGGGATCTCGACATTCGGCAGGATGTGGCGCTGCAACCCCTGTCCACATCCTGCTGTGACGCCGGGAGTTCTTGGCGAAGCCTCAAAATATTTTGTTGTTACATCTAGATATCTCGCTCTGAATACAAGTTCGGCTATAGTACATAATAGAAATATCTAAAATTTTAGCGCATGGTGATCCGTCCCCCCTTGGAACTCCACAGTATTAAATTGTGCTCCAAGAATATGCACTTGTAATCTAGGATTATCCCACTGATATCCAACCCCCATGATATCCTGCTGTAAGTGACCCCGAAATATTCCATTGTCGTCCAGATAATCTATAAGTAAAGTACGCTCTAATATCAGGATAACCGGCTGTAACAACAACGTACTTGATAATATTGGACCAACCGGTGAATGATAAGCGGATGTTGCATAAGCAGACGTGACATGAATACAACGCCACCAGCGCTCTCTTTCTGACACATAACTCATTTAGAAGCTTTGATTTAGCGCTCCACTCAGCTGTATTTAAAATTTTAAGGGGTAAGCTTCAAGGCAATATATTCTAGCTGCGAAAATATTGTTCAATCTGAGTCTAGGGGGAGGATAATGAATTTTCGGATGCGTGCATGAGTAGCTACGCCTGGATACACATTGCATGCCAGTTAACTACTTGTCAAATGACAAGCGACTTCTTCGTGCTTTGGCATTAAAGTAAAGATGGTAAATTATAAATGAAGTAGTTATAAGTAGCAATAAAGAAGCAAAACTAAAATATAAATAAAGTAGCAAAACTCAGGTAGCCACAATGACACACAGACTATAAATGTCCAATTATATCCATTGGATGGTGAAATATCTATGCTTGCAGAAAACAAATGTCATAGGTATTGCAATGGCCAACCCTACGGCACTTACGTCAAAGCCTAGTCAACAGGTGTGACCGGACGTTTAACCTGACCTTACTCGCAACATAGAAGTAAATGGCTGACACCTACGAGTGAAAGCTAAATTCGGCTCATGCCAACTTCATCCAACCATAAACTGACGAGTGACGTCAGATTTGACTCTGGCACAGCGTATATATCACACATTCCAAATAAATCATTTACACTTCATCGCTGCCGGAGTCCCGACTTGTTAAACGGAGTGTCAGGTGGATTTACGACTCACTTCTACCAGAAGCCTACGCTAGACATTCGCCGTTACTCGACTCAACTGCCCAATGGCTGACAAAAAGGACAACACAGTCACACACAGGCGACAGGGCATGCAGCATGCGGTTTTTAGCACCGTCTATGAGACATAAATGCAAGTTCGGTTTCAGATCTTCGACATCGATCATGATCTTCCTCTTCGAGGACCAGCAACCCTCGTAACAAAGCACGACACATTCTCTTGAGCTATCTCTGTTCCGGATTCTCTGTGAGAGAAACGCGGATCGTCCCTATACCTACCAGACAGTGTGATTGTAGTTCAGACCATATGTGTGCCTGCCGGTCTGGCGGTCATTCGGACCGTCTCTCAGGCCATCTATGTACCGGTCACTCTCTGTCTCTCAGTCCGTCTTTCTAGAACAATCAGTCCATATTTCTCAGCCCGTCTCTCCCGTCAGTCTGCCTCTCAGCCCATACCGTCCGGTCCGTCCGTATCTCAGTACGTCTCTATAACACCCAGCCCGTCCGTCTCTCAGCCCGTCTCTGTAACGGTCAGTCTGTCTCTCAGTCCGTCTCTATAACACCCAGCCGTCCGTCTCTCAGCCCACACCGTCGGACCTCGTCACCGTCCGGCGGCGCGCGTCCCATCAGACGGCACGGCACCCCCGAGTGCAGCCGTGAATGAGGTGGCGCCGCCCATCCCGGTCCGGCTGATGGGCCCACCGGCTCTCCCGAGTGCTGGCCCCTAACGAATGCTGCCGGACCCCGGCGGCGTGCCCGGCTAAGTAGCAATTCCTGTTGGAATTTCTATTTAATTAGCGGAGGGATTGGTTGAGCAGTCCGCTGTCCGCGGCAATATGCAGTTGAGTGAAATCATTTACAATGCTGACATTGCAGGCGAGGGTGAAACCAACTTTGTTGGAAAATAGCCACACCGCAATGCTGTTGCGATTATATACGGATATGACCCAACACAAAAATACGAAGGAACTCTGTATTATTCAGGCTGTGCAGTTTGTATGTATGTAGATACGCATGCCAACACATTAATTGTGCATGGTTCCGTGAACCATTTAGCCTTTATTCTCCTGTTGAATATTACCCTCACCCGCCACACGAGGAAGCGGTCCTGCTGTTCAATCTCAGCAGAAGCAGCCGTCCCATGGGTCCGTGCGGATGGGGGTAAGTGCCGGGAAACTCCCTTCCCTCTCCGTTCGCTCGGCACCGGTACATGGAGCCGGTACCGGGTGTAGCCCCGACGGCCGCTCCGGTAAGCCCAGTACCCCAGAGAGTAATCCAGCCACAGCGCGGCAGACTGATCCGCCATTACCTGATATCCATATACCCAGGCGACCGTTCTGACACACCAGTTGATGGATGGTAGCCACCGCCGCCCGACCCGCTCCCGGTCGGTACAGGCAGACACTAGCCCAAACGCCCACCACGGAGCACAGATATTCACTCACAAGATGGAATAGTCATGGAAACTCCGAAAGTTGTCGTGGGATAAGTATTTTGAGGTATATTGTGTTCATCTGACTGAGAATGACATTAGGGTTAAATATGAATGCCACTGGCTGCTCTGCTTTCAGTGAGACTGTGAATTATACAAAGACCCATGGCACCGCTTTTCATAAATGTTACGGCTCAATTTTCAGCCAACTAGGATGTTTCATGCCTAATCTCATCACGTCATCATTTCCTTTTTTATTTAATCATCATGATGAGACGTCGTAATTCTTTTACACTGAATTATGAACATAATATGAAACGAGCATATCCCGTAAGCCTTGCTAAGCGGACATAAAACGTGGGTGTAAAACTAACCAATTACTTCGTTTCAGAGAAAAACATTTACACAGCTGCTCCCGAATAAATTGCAGTATGATAGGAGCTCCACCAGAGCGCGGGTGGAGACGAGTCGGGAATCCCAACCGACAGCGCCATCACGGTCACTCGCCGTCGCCGGCAGAGGAGCGTAACTCTGTTGCTGCCGGACTCAGTTGGGTCGACAGCCTCGGCCACCCACGGCGCCGGCGGGCCGCCAGCTCATTTGGAGCCGCTCGGGCCGGCAGACACGGCCGCGGATTGCGCCCCCGGCGGTGGCGCGCGTCACAAACAGGCCTGATATTTGTCGGTGACGAGGAGCGGGCTCTGATGGCACCGACCGACGCGGAGCTGCAGGGCGCGGGGCAGAGAGAGGGAGAGAGAGATAGAGGGGGGAGGGAGGGGAGGGAAGAGAGAGAGAGAGAGAGAGAGAGAGAGAGAGAGCGAGAGAGAGAGAGAGAGAGAGAGAGAGAGAGAGAGAGAGAGAGAGAGAGAGAGAGAGAGAGAGAGAGAGAGAGAGAGAGAGAGAGAGAGAGAGAGAGAGAGAGAGAGAGAGAGAGAGAGAGAGAGAGAGGGAAGGTAGCGAACAAGGGCGGGATGAATGACCGAGACCAGCCCGAGAGCCGAGGTGCGTGCCAGCGGACGGCAATGTGGCGATTTAACCTAATATTTTCCCCGGGCTCGTCCAGCAGCCAAAGGTCAGAGAGGAAATCAGGATGGGCTATAAAGGCAAGCGGCGGTCCACGGTGGCTTGTCGGTGCTGAGAAAATCGGTGACCGCGCAGGAATTGGAGGGACGCTCAGTGCGGGACTGAGGCTGGCGATAGCATGAATCGGTAATGGGATGGTCAGCGGCGGCTCGGTGGGCCGCTGCCACGGACAGGTCATTGGACTAGCCGAGATGGGACGGCCGGTAATGGGACCGGCATGTGGTTAGACAAACCTAAGGTGGTGGAACGAACCGACGCGACGGCATAATTTTCGTCTCCGACACCACTGGACTTAGATGCAGAGACCTGAGGTGAAATGGGACTCGGTCGGTGAGCCAGAATGCAGACCGGGAGGCGAGACCGGCTAGAGCGGCGGCCCAGAGCGCACGGCGGCGTCACCGCTAAGTTGATTGGTGCGCCGCTGGACGCCAGCTCGTCACATAAGGCGGCCATAACGAGCCTCAAATCTAATCCAGCAAATCGGATTTGGCCGGCGTGACGGCAGCGCTCGGCGTTACTGCGCCGGCCGCCGCTCGGCTGCCCGTCAAACGTCAGAGGCAGAGAGCGCCACCGCCGGCATATCCTGTCTGGACGCCTGCAGGGAGCGGCACGGGCCAGGATGTCCTGTCTGGACGCCTGCAGGGAGCATACGGACCCGGATATCCTGTCTGCAGGGAGCATGAGGGCCGGTACAGCCCGGCGAACCAACTTGCAGAGATAGCAAGAGGGACAATAAGTGCAAACTGCCGGTCCAGCTTGCAGGGAGGGAATGGAAAGACCGACACAGCCTGTCTGGTGTCTTACAGAGAGCTTCCAAAGGCCGCTATGATTTATCCCGCGCGCACGGACTGATATACCTGCCTGGGCTGTTGCTGAAAGCCGAAGACAGGCTGGGTTAGAGAGGAATGGGACCCGTTGCCCATGAAGACCACTCGAGCTGGACATCAGAGGCAGCGCTAAATAATCATTTGGATATGGACAGCTACATAGCTCAGCAGCAGTGGAGACTATCGCCCGCAGATTTTGGTCCCGGAATCCCGCCACCCAGTCCTGCTCACGTGCTGGGTCCTGTCCTCTCACCCCGCCACCTCCTCCCCACAGGACCACCCAACCCGACACTTACCGCCTGCGGAAGACAGCCCGGCCGACCCAATGGCCGTCCCCGACCACTTACCGTTCGCGCTATCTGCAACAGACAGAGAGGGACGGCCGTCAGTGACACGGTGGGCAACAGGGCATGCAGAGAGTGACAGCTTGAAACGGTTCTCTGCTAACATGGTCCGATAAATGATGCATACGATGATTCTTTGGCATTATTGCGATTGATGTAGCAATCCTGTCTCCATTGGATATAATTTGAACACAAACAGCATCATGCTTGGATTAAATTTCATATGTGAGCATGGTAGAGTGGCTATGCAGTAGTCTACAAGCTCCGATCGACTACTTATTTAAAGTGATCGCTATCTGCAAGTAGTCTTCATCATTACCAATTTTGTACTAGGATGTATCACAGACTCGCTGACAGCTAATAAGCAAACGGCACGACAATACACTTATGTAATGCTGCAGCGCGAGAGGAATACATACACGCCGCATTTTCGGACTGTGCGTGCCTCCTTTAATGTGCAGCGATGTACGTATATATTTGTTATCACAAGTGAAAAACATTTCAGCAGCGGAAATTAGTTTCTCTGCATCTGACATACTTTGAAATATCTGGAAAAGAATCAAAGGCGCTTTTGAAGATAAAACTATGGAAGCAAACAATTTCCTGTACCGCGCAAGGGAATTTGCCCAGGCATTCACGAATGAAATTTCTATTTAGCTTTCCTTTGAAATTCCATCTACATTCAGTAAACGACAAAATAAGCTTCAATGAAAGTTCTATTGACTTGCTTCCGGCACGAAATAGCTCGGTGGATGAATTGTCAGCGATACGCGTGGCGCCGAGCAAATGAGTGATTGTTGCTGCGGACCACAAAGCTGCTTATGCAGCCCCCATCTAAAATATCTCATTTTCCAGCATTCTGCAGGCCCTTACATGCACATATTGCATACGAGCATATATCCAGCAGAACGTCTTACTGAGACATGTCAGTGAAGATGGTCGTGGAACGCACGAAAACGCACGTGAATGTTAGAAGCGCAAATCCATGCTGATTGTATCGTCCTAGCGACCCATTCTACACGGGCAACATCATACAAGGCATCAATTCAGAGAAGTGCACCAGAACACTTCCTCAGCGTTCATCTCATCAATGTCCACGTAACCTCCTTTTCTCTGCTTGATCGAGAAACGTTGGATTCCGGATCCAATCGGCGCCTAAAGTCTATCGGTGTCGGCGGGTCCAGCCCACCTCCAGGGGCTGATCCCGCGATCGGGGCCGGAAGTGACGGGTGTAATTAGCTCGGTAGGCCGACAGCTCGGCTCAGCGCGGGACAAGAGCGCGGGTCAATCTTAGGCCAGAAGGCAGGCGCCGGGCGCGGCTAAGGCAGCTGATCAGGACGGGCTCCGGGCAGCTACCAAAATACCCAGCGGCCAGCCGATGTTCTTGCCCGATACAAGCTAGCACACCAAACTATACATCCGAAAACTATACAAACTATGCTTACTTCTGTTCGGGACGGCACTCGGCACTATTCATTAAATACATCCAAGCCCCTAGAGTTCTCCCAATCTTTTATGACAGCGTCCCTATAGGCAACAGCTTGCTCTCCCTCCTCTGGGCACGCATGACAGTTCCCGTGACAGCTGGTAGTGAATGTATGTACGGCATACGGTAGCGCCCTGCGCCCCCTCCATCCCCACAGGCGGGCGGGGGGACAGTCCTCGACCCGGCCGGCGGCGGCCGCCCGTTCTTCTGACCGTAATTGCTGCCTCTTCATGGTCTGCTCATTGGGTTTGCATCGATCTAGGGGCAGCGGTCAGAAGAATAGCAACAGATGACCGGGCATCCCCCCAGCGGTCCTGGGGGTGGGGTGGGGGGGGGGGCGCCGCCGCCCGCTCGCTCACTCACTAGGGACAGCGATCACCGCTGACTCGCCTAAATAATTCCCGCCTGATAATCACATCGAAATTGATTGGTCAATAGGACACTTATTGACGTTAGCTGATTCATGAACTATAAATACGCCAAATATCCATCTGTACGGCGCTAACTTTTCCTGGAAAACATCAGGGCGCATTTTCAGCTCGTATGGGAGGCTTTATCAGCTTTGGACGAAAGATGAATCTATGCAATTCCTCTTCATCAGAGACGTTAGCTTCAGAGCGTGGCTAAATGCCCGCATTCACTCTTGACAGACTAGGGCAGAATGGCCGCTCTACGTATCAAGTATTAATACTGAGAGGAGCGGTCCCATTTTCATCCCGGTGAGAATAAAAGGATTGGAGACGGAGAAGAAACGTCTACTAAATTATTCTGCACAAACTTGGGAAGGCTTCTGTGAATTTTCGCCGACGAAAGCGGTGGCCTTTCTAGCGCTCATTATTGCGGGCAGTCTGTCTGAGGCGGCACTGGGGCGGGAGCCAAGGCAGAGTAGGCTGGGATTGCTGGCAATGGAGACGGAAGAGACGGACAGAGACAGCTAGAATTGCTTGCATTGGGAAATGGAAGAGATCGAAGGGTCGGCGAGGTTCGGAATTGGGTCAGGGGGGACGCCATGAGATGTCAGATCTTGAGGCCAGAGCTGAGGACAGCACAGTGGCGCCGCCTTCTTGGAAAGGAGTTGTCAGCAATGCTCGATGAGCGATGACCAATGACCATTGACCATGGTAAGTGTTGAAAGGTGAAGTCTGTTAGGATGGATACTAGGTAGCCACCGTGAGTAGCTAACTAGAAATAATAGGAGCCTGCGTTATATCAGGGGATAGATTAACAGCGTTTGGGTCGCAGTGACAGGATGCTATTCACTGCCATTTTATTCAGTTTGCAAGCTTTTCCACCGTGCGTGGTCTGTCCCATCAAATCATTTCAAATTCATACGCACATTACCTTTCTCTGATCGTACAATGGTCGAACCGAAATTTCAGCTCTGCGCTCTAAACACCGCTCTGTTGTTTCCGTAATCAGCGTAGCGCCGTGTCACCTTGAGGCCATCGAGCGGGCCGGCGCGGCCTCGCGGCCATCGCCGCTCTACTGATTCAGGGAGCACGCCCGCGCCGCCCGGCCGACCGATACGGTAATCGGGGTCGGACCGACCGACCGACCGGCCGACCGACCGGCCGCGCATCGGCCCCGCCGACCGGCGTCCCCGGTCGCCCGACGGGGCTCGGTACGTTTTGGACAGGATAATGACCATTGATTGTAGATAGCCGCCGGCGGCGTCCACAATCACCTATTTGGCATTTGGTGGAGTAAATATTTCACGCTTGTTACATTGGCCGGCCTGTGGCGCTGCAGCGTCGCTCCGGCTGATCGATTGGTGCCCGCTGCGTGGCTCTGATCGGCGGCCCGCTGTGCCTCTGACGGCTCCGCTAAGGTGTGCCCCTAATCGATGGTGTACGCTCCCGACGGGCCGTCATGCGGCCTCCTGTCAGGTAGCAGTGTGCCCACCGCTGAGCAGTGGACTGACCGAAACAGCCGGCGAGTCCAGAACGATGGCAAAGGAAGCCGGCAGGTGACTACTCGTATACAGCCTTCTAAAAACAGGAGTCATTTCAAGCCGCATTGGACAAAATATATCAATACCATGCGATCAGCAGGTTTGCTGAAACCCATTGAAGCTTGGCCACTATGCATGCCATTACAATTGCGTTCTGGCAGGTTCGGCAAACGATTAAGAAACGTTCTAAGTTGTATACTGACGACAGCCAACCAGACACAAGACTGTTATCGTGTACGCCAGACCTCCAACAACACCACCAGGACGTCAAAGCAGCAACATAAAACAGTAAATTAAAAACAGCTCACTGGGTACCCTTGAAACGGGCCTTATTTATGCCACCGAAGGACCGTAGCTGCATATTATATCAATGCTGGTCGATCCAACTAGAACACTATCGAGCAGTCGTGAGACCAGCTAATCACGTTAACCATATTTGCAGAAGCGCTGTCGAGCGCCCAGCTCATCAGACGGTAGTGCGCAGATTCCTGCCGTTCGAGCTACCCTAACAAAGAGTGGAACAAATCGCCACTCGGTGAGTCAACACTCGCAGTCTGTGTGATATTTACCTTCACCCACGCTCAGTCGCGGTCGAACTGATCGCCGGCGATCGTCAAGACACAGTGCCGTTTGCTCTGCGCCTCGTAACCCCGCCGTCTGACCGCTTATAGCCGGCGGCAGCGTGACACGGGCCAGACCGGCCAATCAGTCCCGATCACGACCGCGTCGACCCATCAGTGGCCGGACGAACCTCCTCGGTCGACAGACAGCCGCGCACGCGACGGACGCTCACGCACCGGCGGGTCCGCCCGCCCGTCCGAGTCGAAACCACCGGCGGCCGGCCGGCCGGCCGCGGCCGCGCTCCAAATCACATCATTTGTAACAGACCCGCATCGGGCTGGATACTCCCCCACCGGCCTGGTCCGCCACAGCCTCTGTCCACGCTCTCGGACAGTGTCCTCGCCGACCTAAGCAGCCGCCCTGAGTCCACGCCGTCGTGGAGTGTGGGCGAGGAGGGCGATCCATCACCGGCCGACAGCACTCGTCCGCGCACTGCGCCCGCCAGATTTATGGCCGACTTTATGGAAATTTCATCCATAAAATGTGACCGCTGAAATGCCGGACACCACGGCGGATTCATGGATCGAAATGGAGGCAGCCTCCCGCGTGGCCAGCGTTGCGGAACTGAACACGTGCTATGCGTGCCACGCTCACAGGGATGGGAAAGGGGTGCACGAAGGCTTTGGATAAAACGCTTTTGTTAAAGAGGTAGAGGGGAATGGAAAATTCCATCTCCATCCATCCAGCTGAGCTTATCGATTATGGTTTCACAAGTACGGTTTCACAACAGCGTGGGGAATCAACTATTCAAAAATCAAACGGAGTCATGAGCTGGTGTCGATATGACATCATATACCTATGGTCAGGTATTTATCGATATGTCGTGTTTATGCAACATGTGCAGTACACCTGTTTGACAAACACACATCAATTTTGAAATATTGGCGCGCTTACAACGGTTACTTCACAAATAATTTCAATTACGGATGAGTTATGGCAATAGGCTTCGTCAAGCAG